TAAGTTATTATTACTTAATCAAAACAACCCAACTGCAGTTTGATTGATATTACTTGGAATGCGCAATAAAAAAAACGTGATTTCTGAAAAGAGTTATCGGTTATTGCAAATGAACTCTTCATATATAATTATTTTTATGCACCAAAATAATGATACATAGTAAGCAACATTTATCTTTTTATGTATTTTCTAAAATGACATTTATATATGTATTTATTTTAATATATTTTACTACACTTTTTAAATTAATAATTTTTTTTTAATGTATTTTATAAAACTTTTAACATTTTTGAATGATGACTAACAAATCATTGACGTGCCTTTCGAATGAACTAATTTGCCATTAAGATGTGTTGTAACTTTTAGGATGCATAATGGCTATATGTATTAAATATTCAAAATGGCTATTTTCTTTATAGCCAAGAAAAGAAATTTATAATGTTTCTAAGAAATTTATAGTCTCGCGTATAGACTGACGTCTGAAGGTCTGGAATCCATGGCAACTTTCATTGGCCAAGGCCCGCCCATGAGGCCGTTTGACCGACATGTCAAACAACCAATCACAGTTCGTTTCGTTCATCGTCATGTTTCGGGGTGTGGAAATGTCGCCACAATAACAGACCGGTGTGTAAAACTCGCGGACATATTTTAAAGATTCTATGCCACGAACTTTAAATATTTCACATACTTTTGAAACTCCAGCGTTTAGTTGATCCTGATAAGCGCTCATCGTCACAGTTGTAAACACTACGGCTTTCTTCTTTCGTGAGGGTGTTTGGCGTCACGGCATCTTTGTTTACAGACGGAACGTTAAAGAACGCGATACATATTACTCCCGGAAATCCTGTAGAATTCAACCAATCCGATGACGACTTCGACACTCCTGAAGTGTTTCCACTTTTGTGTCCCATATGCATCAGACGTTTAGCCAACGGTCCGTGGGCGTGACGTCTGAGGCTGAGACTAAGAAATGTATAATGTATAATAAATATTGGATGTATCACCTAGCCCTTTTAGTAACTAAAGGCTTAATCTGTGTCCAGAAAACAGCCTGTAATGAGCTTCTAATGTCAAAACACGTGAGTTTACTGCAGTGTAATTCAGGCTCTTGACTTCTTGGTGGGCTGGAATGTGTGCAGCATTTCCAAACAGCTTCCTTGTGCTTTCCAAGTCTGTGAGACTTTCAGCGCTAGCACAAACATCAGCCCCCACTAATGTTCTTTCCTCCAGCACCTGCCGTAGCAGCTGTCATGCGAAGCATAGCGTCCACCTGAGAATCTGCTGTGTGTAGCACACTGCTGGAAGCTGGCTTTGATATCGCTCCATCTCTGAGGAGTTGGCAGGTCGAGCCGTCTAAGGGAAGGTCAACACAATCCTGTGTGTTTGAAGGAAAAATATTGCCAGTGCTTCAGTGGGGGGGACGTGGAATGATGGGGAAATTCTTCACCAGCTCAAATGTTTGTGGAAGGGAAGTGGACCGCTGGCGCTAATCAGACCCATACTGCCCTGGAATGTTCCTGGCAGCACATCACTGCGTCCCGGCCCACTGCGCCAATGTTTTTTATTTATTTATTTATTTTACTTTTATCTTCTCGAAAACCCCTCCTTTTCTTTATTTCTTAATTCTTTTTTTATTCTCTCTCACCCAACCCTTTGGTTGCTCTGTATGTTTTTGTTTCTCCTGCAGCAGACTGCTGTTCCAGCAATCTCTGTACTAGACTTGGTATGTTCTTTATGCTCTTTACCTCGCTTCCTGTTTCGGCTCCACCTGTGTCTCCTCTTGTTTACTACCTCCCTCCCTTCATTTGGCCATGGTAGCTACTTTACCCATGGGCATTGTTTAGAGAGATATGTACCACTTTTTCAAAAACGGGACTCCATCTTGGGATTTTCATTATGCTTCACTGGAAAACTGCTTGTTAGAACAGTGTCTAAAAGTAAAAATGAGCTGAATGGATCCGTAAGGAAAGACATCACAGAAAATGCATTTTTAAAGCTAAAGTGTGTCATTTCTAAGCCAGTGTCACCAAGTGGAATAAATAGTTATTATATTTAAAACTAGTTTCATTCTTCCATTGGTTGGGTGAACCGTTAGTCCTGACCTCAAGCTCATTGGTTGAAGTTGAAATATTATTTTTTTTCTTTTTAGAGAAATGAATCTACACAATTAATAATCTCAGTTATTAAAATAATTATCTTTCATTATTAAAATAATTAAATATTAAGATAACTAAAATAATTTAGACTCGCATCTCATTGTCTTAAATTATTTAAAGAATTATTCTTAATTATTAAATAATTAAGATAATGAAAAGAATTTACTCACCCTTCATTTTCTTAAAACGGTTTTAAAAATATTGTTTTAATTAAGATAATTAAAATAATTTACTCACCCCTCATTTTCTTTCTAAATACTTATTTAAACTTTTTAATTATTAAAATAATATTTTCAATAAAGTTGAGTCATCCCTCGTTTTATTTAGTTATTTATTTTTAAGGTGATCTCATTTCTTAAGTTAAAACTTTAGTATTATTTGATCTGTAAAGCTGTTCTTGTCATTTTTATGATCATTTTCGGGTTCATGGAGTTGTGTTTTCATGGTAACAAAATTGTAAAATTGGATATAAATGAACAGAAAATGTTAAAAAACATTTTTTTTTTTCCATTTTAAAACCATGCTAACAGTCATATTGTTTTTGTCTTGTTACTATACTATTGAAACCATGAGCATTTTAATGCCCCATTCACTTCCATTGCAAGTGCCTCACTGTAACCCAGGTTTTTGAAACAGAGGGACAAGTTAAAATAAGTTTTAGAGGTACTCAGCATTATTCCACAAATGCTGTCGATTGAGTATAGCCTGTATTTATTATTCATTTAATGTCAAAAAAATTACACACTTCAGCTTTAAATGTGCACAGGACAGTGACCTTGTGTCTGGTAGCTTAGACAAGAACATTTGCACCTAGAAAACCACCAAATTCATTCTAAAGAACAGTTTGGAAGCTCTTTTTCTTTTTTGGAGAACATGAAGAAGCTCTGCTGATTTCGGCAGCCGTTGTTTCAGTGCAGTGTCATCATGAGGGATAGGTTGGCGCATGTTTTCTTCCAGCCCGGTCTCTCCGGCCCTGAGCTTGCTTGCATGTGGGCCTCATTTCCGTGCCGTGATCACCATTCTTGGTTCTCCATCTACTCCACTCATCACTGCTCTCTGAGTCTGTATTGAGCCTGATGCTTTGCCGCTCATTTACTCTGCGTTTCTCCATGGTTTTCTGTGCTGGGTTTCCTCTTCCCCTATCCTGACTACTGGACATGTCTCCGTTTATGTCCGCTTCCTTCTGATTTTGGAGGGAAAAGGTGTATGGCCTTGATTTGTATTTCCTAACCTGTTGAGCATTGTATATGTATTGTGTATGAAGTTTGATGGAGGTGTTTGGATTTCCTTTTGAATGTTTTGAAAGTGAAGAAGCATTGAAATTCTGTCAGTAAGTTGTTTTGCATGCAACTGTGTATGTGCATGGGATTCTGTGTGATGGTGTGCAGTGCACGATGCCTCTCATCACAGGGGCCACATTGACAAATTTACTGGTGTGATAAAAATTCAGCAGAACACCTTTATACAAATCACCACAGCAGAATAGTTTTTTTGAATAAGGTTTTGGACCTGTTCAGGTTGGACATTGAAAATTGTTTGCTAATCTAGTCTAAACTAGGCTACCATTTTAAATGTAAACATTAAATTAATATTACATTAAATTTTAATTTTTTTTTGTGTGTGTTTAATGATAGGTTTGAATATAGGTTTGTAATTTTACATACAAGTTAAGTGTTACACTACATTTCAAAAGTTTTTGGTTTGTAATTTTTTTTATTATTATTATGTTTTTGAAATTAGTTACTTATGCTCACCAAGGCACAGTTTATTTAATCAAAAATACAGTAAAAACATCAATATTGTGGAATATTATTGCAATTTAAAACTGCTGGGGCCATATTCACGAAAGATTCTTAAGAAGAAATTTCCTCTTAACTGCCATTTTCTTCTTATTTTTTAACTTAAGAAAAAAGTTAAGAATATTTTGTATTCCCAAAAATTCTTCTTAAGAATATTCTTATATTTTTTCTTACGATTGTTTTTAAGACAAAACTTAAGAAGAATTCAAATTCTTGAAAAGAATCTACTTAAAAATCATCGTAAATAACTTCTTAAATTAAGGACAGCCCCAGACTTGTCTTAAATCCCAAACAGTAAGAATTATTTAATGAATTTATTGGGTTATTTCAAATTAATTGTTATATTTAAGCATTACAACAACACTAGCAACATATAATACATAGTAGGACTATTAATAGGGATGTGCAAGAGTTTTCTGAAGTGACAGCGATGACTGATAATGTAAACAATTATCGGTCATGATTAGCCTATGTGTGACGCTACTTTTTGCTGACTTCAAAACTCAGTAGCATCTCTACAAAAACGAGTCCGATAGGGAGCTTTAATTGGACACTTTTAATTTTATCTTAAAAATATGACATAATCTTTGGCAGTATTCAGCGCATATGAACGCACCGATACACAGGACGCATTTGCTGTAGCAGCGCGAAAACACTGACCGGAAGCGTTCACTCAGATGAGAGCGCAAAAAAACAGCACAAAAATGAATGAAACAGATCGCTGCAGCTTGAGACAGGCTATTTAAAAGTAACTGTTCAAAAACAGGCCGCATTAAAGGGGTCATATGATGCCAGTCAAAGTCGCGACGAAAATAGTGTGCGTGTTTTATTATGATTACTAGGGTAATCTGCAGGAAGCGCAAAAAGACTATAAAGTGTGAGTTTATCAGTGCGTCATGTAGCCTATTCACTCCGATAAAGACTGTCATTTTCTTCTTAAGAAAAAAATTAAGATGTTCTTAAGAATATATTTGAGAACTTAAGAATTTTTCAAGAATTGCACTTAAGAACATTCTTACGAACTTCGTGGACTTTATCTTAAGAAATTTCTTAAATTATTTCTTAAGAAGATTTTCGTGAATCCGGCCCCTGGTTTCTATTTTAATATAATTTGAAAAGTAATTTATCCCTGTGATGGTAAAGCTGAATTTTCAGCATCATTACTCCAGTTTTCAGTGTCACATGATCCTTCAGAAATCATTCTGTCATTCAGAAATTTGCTGATTGGGTGAAAACATTTATTATTATCAATGTTGAAAACAGTTGTGCTGCTTAATATTTTTGTCGAAACAGTGATATATATTATATATATTTTATATATTTTTTTTAGGATGCTTTGAATAGAAAGTTCAAAAGAACAGCATTTAGTTGAAGAATAGAAATAGAAATATTTTGTAACACTAAAAAAATGTCTTTAACTGTCACTTTTGATTAATTTAATGCTTCCTTGATGAATAAAAGTATTAATTTGTTAAAAAAATAATAATAATCTTACAGACCCGAAACTTATAAGCGAAAGTGCAAGTTGGCGTTTTTCTAGGTTCGTTTTAAATTTAACTTTAAATATATCAGTAGTTTTACAACTAGGGTTAAAATTGACATCAAAATTCGTGGTTAGATTTCTAACTGTCATAAATTTAATTTAGGATCAGTTTAGTCAATCGTTTATATTTAGGACCATGAATTGCAGTCAGTCTAATCCATCATGTCTCTGGTCCAGTGTTTTTCCTCTAAACCTGATTATGCATTGTGCACCTCAGCTACAGGACGAGGAGCGACGACGGAAACAGCAGTTGGAGGAAATTCGTAAGCGTGAGGCAGAAGAGCGAGCCAAACAGGAGGAGGAGAGACGCTGGAGAGAGGAGGAGAGAGCCAGACGAGAGGCCGAGGAGAAGGTATTGAAATCGAAGCGGACCAGCGTCAAGTAGGAACTTTCTATAAGTAGATAAATGCAATAAAGATGATTTTGATGATAAAGGACTTATAGTCAAGAAATACGTTTTTTGTGTAATATGCAAATTGCAGACACGTTTTAGCACACTTTATATGGGATGCAGATTATCTTTTCAATTTTTGCCCACTCAGCCTGGCTTTAAATGCAAGTCACGACAACAGCAGTTCGATTTTAATGTCTCAGACCTGATCTCTTGCTTTTGATTATTCAGGTTAATTATAGTGAGATATTCTTGGTTTTGTTTTGGGGTAGATTCCCAAAATAATCTCTGTACCAATATAAATAAATTTTTGGCATAATTTCCTGATGGAGACCTATGTGATCAGCCATGTTTATTCATGCTAACGCTAAGCTTTTTCAAGGTTTTGCCTGATTTCCATGTGGATGGTTCCTCACGACCTTGTAAGTGGGTGTGATTGGAGACAGCAGCTGATATTTAATGTGTCAGACTGTATGAGATCACAACCCCTTTGTGCTTAATTTAAAATAATGTGTACCTATGTATATATACAGTCCTATACTTGCTGATAATAATAGGGTTAACAGCAATTCTGGAGTTAGTAATGATCCGTTAACTGTCAGAGGCTAAATTAAGTTTGTTTAATGCCCATGTGTTACACTTTTGGAATGCCTCAGTGGGTCATCAGTTTACCAGTGGTCTGAATTTACATTCATAAATTAAAAATGTGACCACAACATTGTCCCACTATGTGACCATCCAGTTTTATCTGTGTCTGTGTGCGTCATTTTCAGACCACTGGTAATTTTAGAGCCCATTTGTGATGTCCAACTGCATGTCTTCACAACATCTCCTCTCTTGTGTTTGTGATGTATCCCCATCCCCTTCTAAGAAACGCATGAGAGTCACATGTCAGATCTTTACACAACACTCCAGCATTTTGTTGGGAGACCATTGCCATTCCATACAACATTGCTTGGAAGTGCTGTTGGAAATGGGCCCGCCTTGGTTTTCGTGGAGGCCATCCCAGATTGAACTAGCTCATGTGTGTTTTGCCTCCACATTCTCTCATAAGAGACATTCCCACCACCGCAGTACTAACCCAGGGGATCCATGCACAGAGACCAGAGCAGCCAGCCGCTGGGTGTTTTTCTCTAAAGCTAAACCACCAAATGCCAGCCAGACCTTCAACTGGAGTTTATAACAGTAACATACACTCCAGTATTTCCATTCCAGTTAGAAACAAGCATATTTGTCAGCTGTAGTGACTTGTTCCTCTTTAGCACCATCTGGTGTGCTTACAATCGAATGCAAGTCTTAAACAGTGTCTGCACTGCAAGCAAACTGCACAATGCATCTAAACTAGATTGCATTCATACAATTTGCATTTATAAAGAAGGTTTAATCACTGGACTTAAATCTTCAAAGGACTTTCAAAAGTGTTTAAACACTTAGGCACTTAATTCAGATTCTAAATTAAATATTTAATTACGTTAGAAATTGTATTGGCTTTCTATTTTTTAAATGTTTCATTAAATGTATTTTTTTAATATTTAAATTTTGATTAAAAACATTTTTAATTTTTGAAAAATTACATTTTCCTGACAACGGCCTATTTTTGTGTTATCGACTGTTTCAGATTAACTCACTTCTGAATTGAACATTAAAACAAAACACCTGACATTTCCTGGCCAGAATAAGCTGCAAAGTGGATTGAACTCGTGAAACTACTCGCATAATAATCAACAAAGCTCGCTATGCTACCAGCGGCACTGTAGTAATAGGGCCTTTCGCACCACGGGAACCTTTTCATAGTACCAGAACTAATTGTGGAACCACCCACTTTTTGGCGTTTTCGCACCGCCAGATCTGGGTGCGATTTTAGTACCGGACTGCCTTTTTCGAGAACCAAATTAGCTCCTACTCCGGAGCAGGGTCTAACCAGCACAACTGGTACTAATCGTGACGCAAGTAGACATTGATTGGCCAAACGTGTATGAAAACGCCCTCACCCGCCATGATTTAAAACGCCGTGTAAACATACTGTAAACATTGTGTCAACTTATTTCGCAAGTATGGAGAACAGCGATAGATGGACGGACGCTGAAGTGCAGGCACTTGTAGCAAATGTAGCACTGCCAGTTGTTGTTGGAGATTCTTAGTCCTCCTTTCCGTTCTTTCAATCGCTTTACGTATACGTCGACTTTCCATGTCCATTATTGTGAAACCCGCGAGACACAACAAAAACACAGCTCCGATCACAGCGTCCTCCATCCTCCTGTTGTTAATGTTGTTCTTCTTTGTTTCTGTTGTTGAACGCCGCACACAAATGACGACGCTGTCGACCGGCTTACGTCACTTCCTAGTACACACTGTCGGTGCGAATGCAACCCTTTAAATGGTACTGGGAAATAGTTAGTACAAAAGCGTCCCAGTACTTAATACTGTACATTTAGTTCTGGAACTAAAGCGGTGTGAAAGGCCCTAATGACAGCACTGTTGATTTACGTCTAGGTTACAACATTGCTTGCTTGCAGTGTAGCCGTGTTAAATAAAACCAATGGCTTACTTTCCCCAACATGCAGGATTTAGCTACTTGATTCAGTCAAAAGCACATTACATCATATCAGCAAACACATTTCTTCTACTACAATGTAGCTTTACTACATTGGTGCATCCATTAGCCAGGGTACCGTTAGCTTTGACCCAGGCCTCGCAGCAGCACAGGCTTGCAAAGGCAGCTCTAACCAGCTCTTCCCATGTTCCCCCCTTCAGAGGAGACAGGAGGAAGAGTACTACACCCGCCTGGAGGCAGAGCGGCGCCGGCAGCACGAGGAAGCCGAGCGCAAGCTGCTGACGCCAGACGAGCCTGGTCTGTACAGACCCCCCCTACCCCGGGACTACCAGCCCCCTTCTCCTGCAAGCACCCCTGCCAC